AAAAAAAAAAACAAAACCATTAATTAAATTAAAACCATTACTCCCGCCAGCTTCTTGCATTAAGCGTCTTTTAATTCGAATGCCTAGAGCTCTTACGCTGTTTGCCTATTTTTTAAGGCCAAAAAATTGCTATGTATGTATGTATGTCTTCGTATGTTTGTATGTATGTATGTATGTATGTATGTATGTATGTATGTATGTATGTATGTATATTTATTTGTTTGACTTTCTAAGAACATTCATCTAATCTGAGGATAAATGCATTATTCTTTTAATGCAGTATAATGCTGACTTATTACTGATTTGCTTTATACATTTATTTTAATTAAATTTTTGTTATTCTAGGTCTCCTATATACCAAGCTTCTACATTTATAGTTAAGTTGTTCTCTTGTGTGTGTCAATCCGCCCGCTCTTTCTCTCTCTCTCTCTCTCTCTCTCTCTCTCTCTCTCTCTCTCTTTCTTTCTCTTTCTCGTTTTCTCTCCTATATATATATATATATATATATATATATATATATAGATGTGTGTATATGTGTGGGTGTATGTATTTGCGAGTGTATGGGTATGTGTTTTAAAATCTACGCCAGTCTCAAAAAGCTCGAGTACCATATATAAACAATTTTTCAAAATTAATTTTTAAAAAAAATCTACTTTAAAAAATCAAACAATTCTTTTCTCTTAACACGACTTGACAGTTACTTATGTTTAAATATTTTGTTTTGAATTTTTTAGTTTTGTTGTTAATTCTTGTTTTGGGTGTTGTATATATATATAGTATATATATATATATATATAATACGACTTTTTTTTTGCAAATTTAGGTTCTTTTTATATAAAACTAATCTTTTTTTTTTTTTTTTTATTATTCACTACTGTACACTTATAAAATAGTCAAAACTATTTTTTTTTTTTTTATATATAATTGAGAATATTTTGTGTTTTTTCTTTCTTATTTAAGGAAAAACTTATAAGAATGCTATAGTACTAGGTGTGTGTTTGTGTATTTCTGCAAACTTAACTTTCATAATTTTTGCAATTCATTAAATTTGTTTTTTTTTTTTTTTTTTTTTTTTTCGTTTTTTATGACAAACTGAAGTTTTTTAGCTTTTTTTTATTTCTGTTTTTCTTTAATTAATTTTTGTTATTTTTTTTTTTTTTTGTTTCTTACTTTTGTTTTTTGATTAAAAATTAACTAAGCTAACACTTATTAAAATGCTTTAAACAATCACTGCTGCTGTTACTACTGCTGGCCGTGGCAGTGTTTTTATTATTATTGTTATCAGTGTTGTATTTTTGTTCCTTGTTTGCCTCACTTTTCTTTCGGCTAACGTCATTAGACGTTGTCAAGATCTCTAAGCGATTTGTGCTTCTTCTGCGGCGTTTACGTGTCGTAATAATACCCGCGGCTCCACCCGATGCTCCTTTCTTTTTTACAAATTTTATATTATACGGATCTTCGGCTAATTCTGGATACATTGCTACATCGTGTATATACTCGCCTTCATAATTATTTGCATAACTTTGTTTTAAAATTTCGTCTATCTCTTGTTGATTCCATTCAATTTCGGAATTAAGGCCATTCCTTAAAGCTTCCTTCTCGCGATGCCAGGCTTTGCGTACAGCTGTCAGTTTGGCATGATGCATTAAACGTTGCTTCTCTTTTTCTACAGTGGTGCCGTAACGTAAATTGATAATAGCATGAAGACCATGTATCTTGACATCCAAATAATTGGTACCACTACCATTCTCTCGGGTAATCTCGTGAAAGGTTGTATTTACTTGGCCTTGTAGTCTCTTCAATTGCTGCCGATCTTCACTGGCTCGCCACAATTCCTCCTTTACGAAAAAGAATGAGTCTTGTTGTGCATTATGTACCACAAACGTGAAAGGTAACAACTTGGATCTATTAAATACCGAGGTGTATACATCGCGATAGATGGCGTTAGCTGCCGGTACACTAGAGACTATGGCTTGGCCGTCTGAGGTCCGCGATACAACAATACCTTTGCCAAATGGCGGCTCTGTATCAGATCCTATTGTTTTAGGATTGGGATTCATGACATCGTACTTCAGGGCCGACTGCGGTGGGGCTGATAAATCTTCAAAGTTAGACATTCGTCTAATGTTCAAATGTGCCAGAAAACCGCTTTCTACTGCCATGGTAGGCACATTATATCTGGGTTTCTTCAAATCCAAAGCGATTGGATTATGTGGTGCTCTGCCCCATAGCGAAGGTTGCTCCCATAGTTTACGGGTTAATTGTGGCAATAGGTTTTCCATTTTAAAACCTATAGTGGACATCCATTTTTTAAATGTAGACGGATAGTTACGATCATGGCCCACATTAATCGGATCGTTGCCGTTGAAACGATACAAATGCATTTTGGTCGGTGTTATAATGCGTTCTAAGACATTTTCCCAATTGGGACTCATCCATTGCCCTATTAGCGGATCATATACTCGGCCATCGCCCATATGCACCAATGTTGTTACCTGATCTAATATGCCACCGCAGAAGTCAATTGGCAAATAAAGGTAAGGATTTGAGTCATATACAATATGACCAAACGGTGATCTCATTATCTCTCGAATACCTTCGCCGTATTGATTGAAGATCATTATAGGCGTTCCGCTTTGATCTGTGGCTACGTAATATTTATGCCTATACACCTGAGCGTAAATCAAATGACCGACGTCATCATAAGTTAAGGACATCAATTTGCCATCTCTTGGCGAATAAATTTGCGAAACTTCATAAGGCCGTTGCTGATTGTTGTAAAAGAATTGAGTAACGTTGCCAAAGTTATCTTTTCGGGTAACCAAACGTTTCAAATGATCGTAATAGTAGCGTACATCGAAACGTCCTCTTTTGGTAGCTCTAACAAGTAGACCTTGTGTATTATAATGGAATCTTTCTTCGCGGGCATTTTGGGCCACCAAGCCGCGAGCATCATATTTATATTGTCCTTCGCCAAACTTTACTATCCGATCTTGGTTATTGTATTCCATAGGTATAGTGTTGCCGCGGTAAGTCAGCGACAGCAAATTTCCATTGTCATCATAACGGAAACCCCATGGTTCCTGAGCTTCTACCCCGATTAGTTGTCCGTCACAGTCCCAAGTGTAATTCTTAACATTTGTATAAGTGTTCACAGCCATATTGCGAGTATAAGTGCGGGTTTGCGTTATACGCCCATGTATACCGAAGCTATACTCCATACGAAATACTTCCAAGCGGTGTATGGCTAAAGTAATTTTCTGGGTCATGAAACGGCCATCTACAGTACGCGTAAAACTGGCGGTGCCATCATAAACTTGGGTTTGATTAAGCAACGGATGCATTATTTTGAATTGACCAATCATGCTGGGCTGGCCGGTGCGCATGTTATAAGCAAAGTTCTGCGCGGGCAAATTTTGACCGCCAATCCGGCCTTGGATAGAAATAACGCGAAAGTCTGTGTCGTGTTCATAAGTGAACTTTGCATTACTTAAGCCCGTTTTGGCTACAAAATCAATCCGTTCTTCAGTTAGTAAGCCACCGGCATATTCAAAATCCCATCTGTACTCCAATTCACGTTCTATATGGGATACTGTGCTAGGCATACCTGTGGACTCGTTGTATATAAACTCACTTTTTCCGTCACCATGAACAATCTCAGTTAATTGACCTGCCGCATTGTAACGATATAATATGCGAGCACCATCTCCAGGAAATATTGTCTGCAGTAGAGCTCCTGAATGACTATAATGTTGTAAATATGCTCTAGAGCTACCAGGAGGGGTATAAGTATTGCGTATAAAACCGATTGAAGTTTGCATGCTAAAAGAATGCTTAGTGCCGGACGGTAAAATAACATGCCTTAAGCCACCCGAATCATCGTATTGCAAAATGAATTTACGTTGACTGGCTAAACCAATTTCTGATACGAGATTCCAGTCGTTGTACACAAAAGAAATAATACCGTCTTGCTGAGAAGTTATTTCAGATAGGAGACCATGGCGGTCGTACGAATATTTTAGATCAGCGGGACCCCAGGCCCAGCCTTCGATACGATTAAATCGATCATAAGTCAAATTAACGGGATAGCCGTTGGTTGGATAGAATGACTTTGGCAGGCCTGATTGATCGTAGGCTACGATTAAAATGGGAGTACGATTCATATCATAAAAAGTCTCACGATTCGTGAATTGATCGTACTCCACACCAATGACTCGCGACTGATTAACCCATATTTCGCGATTGAGCGTTTGTTGAGGATTACGGACGTCACCAATAAGATTGTAGACTGAATACATGTTGTTAATCTGGCCTTCGCCCATTACTACACTTTGATGAGACCACATGGCTAACATTTCAGCTTCGACGGGTAAAGCAGCCTCTAATAAAGGGTGACGTGCCACAGCGGACGATTCTACCACTACACCATTCGAGCTGTGTATAATTAAGGTATTATTGGGTTTAATTTCGGCGTTGGCGTTTTCTCGACCCTTCTTTAAGAACGTCGAACGAACACCACCCAAAACCAACAGCTCATTAATATCACCCTTTTCGCGAGAGAATAATGATTCAACTGAAGCGTGCACATATACCGTTAAGCCTTTATTATCGGCCAATTGGGATGTAATACGCACAATTTCACCGCTTGGGAGAATGAGACCCGTAACACGACCAAATTCATCATATTGGTAAATATACGTCTCGCCACCCGATGATCGCGAGTTAAGTAAACCAGTATTACTATCATAGTCTAGTTCGATTTCCTGGCGGCCCTTCTCACTTAATTTCGTCATAATGCCGATGCCATTGATTTGTATATCTGACTTATGATCTTGAGTATTCTCTATTGAGCTAACAACGTTGCTATAATCACGCAGGAATTGTATCTTATTACCTGAGGCATCGGTAACGGTGGATAGGCGACCAAATGAAGTGTTCTTCGAATACAGAAAACTATACCTTGTTTTGCCTGAAGTCAAGTCCTTGGTCGCTACATGTTGTCCATAGCGATTGAACACATAAATCTCACTGGAGGGTGGATACGGAATATGAAATTCACCATTTTCGTCATGCGATGGCAAATAATGCTCCAAAGCTAATACATGCAGCGAGCCTAGAAATGAGAAAAAGTTTAATTGAAAAATTATTTAGAAGCAAATAGTAAAAGACAAAAACATTCATTGATATTTGTTGTAATCAGCGAGGAAAATGTTTTTTAATAATACATTTGTAGGTATGAACGCATTTGTCAGCAGATCATAAATCCTTTATGGTTTTTCCTTTTTCAATCGTTATGAATTTATTGTACATGTGTGAGCTTATGTAGGTTTGTAGGTGTAAGTGATATCTCTTTTGCATTTTTTTTTTTTTTAAAGCAGCATGTATTGGTATAATAGGTGCATTAAACTGCCTGAACTTTGACATATTTATGCACGACTTTGTTGCAAACTCATACAGAGCCGTTTAGTCAACCATTTAACCACTCTCAGCGCCGTCAGTTATTCCGTCAGTCAGTCAGTCAGTCAGTCAGTCAGTCAGTCAGTCAGTCAGTCAGTCAGTCAGGAAGTCAGGAAGTCGGGAAGTCAGTTAGCCAACTAGTTCGTCATAAAGACAGTCAAAAGAGTCTGCTTTTCTGTCATTCATATTTATTGTCATTTACAATGCTTTTGTGTATGCGTTGCGCGATAGCATGTCTGAGAAAACGAGAAAAAAGCAAATGTGGAAAAAACCAAAAACCAACGAAACCTTTATGTGTCATTGCCTCCATGAATGATTGAATTGAATGAATGAACGAATGACTGACTGACTAAATAAATGAATGCATTTTACTGTTATGCTGTTGATTAATGTTTTGATATCTTGTATATAAGTATGTATGCAAATGCGACTATATGTATATATAAATATATAAGCTTTTGTAGTCACATCATATCAAACATGGATGGCATTTATGTATTTTCATACAGCCATTCATTGGCAAACAAATAAACTGACAGACAGACAGACAGACACACAGACCAGAAAAGGATTTGTTAATAAATCATCGAAAAATATATTCCATTGCAATGGGAAGAGATCACATGTAATCGAGCTACACTGCCATATATACATACATATATATATATATATATATATATATATATATATAGTGTAGTATAATATATATACATATATTTATTTATTCATTTATTTATTTATTTATATATAGAAAGAGAGACAAGGCAATTGCATTTTTGGATAAGCATTATAATGATAATTAAAATGATGACGATAGAGTTCAAGGTTTACAAACAAAGTCATTTAAATTAGAGATTATAAGCAAAACACTTTTTACTATGGCATTTCCCATTGAACATAAATAAACGAGAAAAGTTAATCAATGTGATATATATATATATATATATATATATAAATTGTAAGGGTTTATTACTGATATATGCAAACTTTGTAGCACAAATTATATAAGCAAATAATTTAAAACAAGAAAAGAAAATCCCTCGACTAAGATTTAATGCGTTGTACGCAAAGCAGCAATAGATCGGAAAACTTTTCTTAATAACAAACATAGCGATTACGGAGTGGACACTATGTTTATATTAAAATTTTGAAGGGTTTTGGCAAAGGTATTTACAAAAGATCCCAGATTCGGCAGCTTCGCAATTCTCTCGATTTTCTCGATCATGACAGGAATATAAATCCCTTGAATACATATCTTATTCTGATCGGAAACTTGTACATCTTAAGGTCATATATATGGATGACAAATCCAGAATATCCGGACCATTTGATTCCAGGGATAAAAAGGTTAGGGTGGAAGAAGAGAATAATCTTGCAATTCATTCAAATTCAATCAATTAGCAGAGTGAAGATTAAAGCGTTTGACAACTGCACGACTAAATGAATAAGTTTTCTTGTATTTGTTTAGGGTGATTGCCTGCACAATTTATCCATTCCAAGCGCTCTCTTTACGACTCACGATCTTATTTTGTATATAATTTTACCATAATTTATGTTGACTTTATACTGCTATTATTATCTTTTTATTGTTATTATTATTACACTTTTCGCCTCTTTTTTCTATTATGCTGTCAGTGTGCATGTATGTGTACATGTACATTTGAAACTATTATTTTAAAAATAATATTTTTTCTTTATTGCGATGGCGAACGAAAGACGAAAGGACAGCAACCTAACTTCCTCGTTTCTTTCAATTTTTTTCCTTTTTTTTTTTTTTTCTATGAAACAATTGTTATGCACTTATTGCGTTGTTATGCACTGTTTGCTGAATTGGACCTTGCGTTTTCATATACCCCCCCCCCCCCCCCACGCACACACACCCCATTCCGCCCATCCCATCCCATCCCACCATCTCGACCATCTAATGCATCCTGGTTAGTAAACGAGCGGGAGTTTGTGTCTTAACTGTTCTTTATTTTGTACTGACTTTCCTCTCTGCTATGCATCAAATTTTCCCCCCTTCGCCTAGTTGACTTTAGCGTTGTGTATACGCTTTGATGCTACAGTGTCTGAAAAAAATTTTTTGCAAATTTTTTGTAATGTTTACATAAGCGTTCATTGACTTTTGTTGTGATGCTCATTTTTAATGGCGGATTTCCGGTATTGTAATTGCGCGCCAATTCTTAGGTTTGTCTGCGTTCGCACAAACAAACAAGCGAGTGAGCAAGCAAGCGGTTGCAATTCAACTGTTTGGTTTGTTATGAAGGGGAGATTTTGCTGTTTTCTTATTTTCTCTTTTCTCTTTTCTTTTTTTTCTGTTTTCTTTTTCTTTTTTTTTGCCTGACACACCGTCCCAAAATGGAAGTATACAGACTTTCTCAACTGGTTTAAAACGCCCTGGAGGCGTACATTAGAAATGTTGCAAAGCACGACCATCCGAGTAACTGCTTTAGTCTAGTCGTCTGTCTGTCCACCTTTTTACAATACGTATAGTTGGAATCGGGTAAATAATTGAAACTTGAAAAGCCTACTGTTCTAATATATATTCACTTATTCAAGCTTGAAGATGAAACTAAACCATCCCAAAGTGGATAAAAGAAAAACTTATAATAATTAAAAAAAAAAAAAAAAAAAAAAAAAACAATTTGTTTTTTAAATCAAACTTTTAAGTTAAGTAAAAAGCATTTCTTTTCTCAATCGACAAGCAAAAGTGCAATCGATCGGCACAATACTTATGTGTTATATATTAAATAGCATAAGTGTACACGTGAGCCGTCAGGATAGCAAAATTCAAACGTTCATTTTATTGCATTTCTAAATTCATGCTTATACAGCTAGGATAAGTTTATGTAATATTTGCAACTTTTCGTTGGAAATTTATTTCGGAAAACAAATCTTACAAGTCATCAAGACTACAATACAATCCTCTTTATTTAGTGGAGCACAGACAAAATATATATTAAAAAGTTCGCCTCGAACTTAATTTCTCTCTTGTTTATAATTACACCAAATATTTTTGTGTCACATTCACTCTCTAGGTGTTGCCGTATTTTCAAAAAGTCATTATGTGAAAATTCATGTGAAAATTCCAGTTGTCCGAAATCTCCCAACACTCAAATCTAACTAAGTAATAGTATTTCGGCTAACTAAATTGATCTGAAAAGTTTGAATTGGGTGAATCAATTTGTTAAATTCCTTTCCATAAAATCCTTCCTATGAAATATCAGCCTTCATATGGCAAAAGGGTGTAATTTGTAATACTTTATAATGAAAATCGGTGCATAAAGTAATTAGTAATTCGATATAAAAATTTGGGCTACGTAAACTTATTTTTTCCAGCCACGACCTTATAAGGCCTCTAATGAAAATTGCGACTTTGCGTTGAAGCAACGTATAATTTTTAGTATGCAATTTTGTATTTGACGCATTGGTGTAGGATGGCTAAAGGTCAGCATTGCCGAACTATAATAATTTTACTTGCTGTTGTTATTTTTTATTTCTTTACTTTTTTAATTTCACAGACATCTTTTCTCTTCATTATCAGCATAAAATGAAACTTACAAATTATTTATATATATATATATATATATATATATATATAAGAATGAATGCTTATATTAAATAGATCCTTATAATGTTGTTATTGATAGTTGCTGTTATTTTAATTAGAGTTTCATAACAGACAAACAACCTTAGGAGAAAAGTTTAAGTTAAGCATGACAATTTTTAAAGCATACTTTTCGGATGATTATTTAAGTAAGATATTTAAAGCATAACTTTGTTTGTATTAAAACCGAAGATATTTACAAAATCATTTTACTTGCAATAACTACTAAAACTATTATTGATTGGATTTTTCTTTTTATTTATTTACATACATATTTATTTATATTTTTGTGCACACTTTTAATAAAAACTAATGTAACTTATGTCTGATAGTTTTTTTTGTTGTTTTTTTTTTGCCCGAAGGCTTGTTGGATCAGTTCATTTTTATGTTCATGATTCGGTTATAACTTGGCTTAAACAATTTTTTCATTCAGGATAACATTTAACCTACTTTCTTTGCCTTCATATGAAAAGAAAAATGAAAATCTACTTTTAGGCTTAAAAAAAAAAAAAAAAAAAAGTTTTCATAATTTTAATATTACAACAACAGCAACAGCAACAACAACGATAACGAAAATAAATAATATGAGTATTTAAATATTTTTTGTACTCTTAGATATATTAAGTAGTTTGCATAAATTTTCTTTTTTGTCATAATATTCCTAAAACACATTGAAATTTAACGGAAACACTATTTAGAGCAAATGTTTTATACATTTACGAAAAATATGTAAAATGTTCCTTATGTTCATCTTAAAAAAGGAAAAATCTTTAATCCGACTCTAGGACATTTAAGTTAAAAACCCCAAAAAGAATTGCTTAATAAGGCAAAACATTTTAGTGTGCTGTTCCTTCAATGTAAATTTCTCGCCTTGATTCATCTTCAGTAGACATTAAGAAGGCAGCGCACCGTGTTTGGCCATTGAAAGATAAGTAGCTACTTCGAATGCCTTGAAAAAGCAAAAAAAAAAAAAGGTACTTAAGCATAAGCAAAGAAGAGAAAACCACAAGAGAAATAATCAGGAAATAAACTGACAGCCTCGTCAAAGT